ACCTTCTTACCTATAAAACAATGTTGACTTATTAGAAAGGGTTCAAGGTGGAAGAGTCATCTTATTAAAGTTTATGAATTATCTAGGGGATCAATGGGAAGAAACTTCCAATTCCTTTGTGCTATATTCTGAAGATAATAGGACAACAGGACACAAGTTTGTTATTTCAAAACAACAAGCTAGGATCCAGTTAACTTTCAAGAGTTATATTTTTAGCCATGGCATAGCACTAGCAGCTCATAGTCATAAAATAGCAGAGTGTTTCAAGTACAAACTTTTAGTTTTAGCTCATAGCTCCATCATCTTTAGACCAATTTAAGGTCTAATTACAGTTTTGGACTAAGGATGTCAAACCCTTTTGATTGATGTATTTGACCATGCCCGAGGTCTCACAGATCAATTTACTCTAATCCTGCCTAACAGAATTTCAATTTGAGGGAAGGTTGGTAGAGATCCTGATGAACAATAGAATCAAATCGGGTATACCCTCGCCTCATGCTTGGTATTGCTGGCACAAAAAACTACAACTGATAAAATAAAAAAGGGAGAAAAAAAAAAAAGTATCATAGGTTAATTTATTCTAATCCTGCTTAAAAGAATTAGAAGTGTCATGGCTATTGAGGATTCCCTCTTGTTTCTAATGCCCAATGGGGTGATTGACTTATTGAAATTGAAAGTGGTTATAGGTTTAATTTTAATTTTGAATTGCAAACACTTAGAACAGTGCAAATGCAAAATTACAACTTACACTTCTACTACATACAAGTGCAATGCAACCTTCCGCCAGTTACTATACCAATCTTAAATTACTCCTGTTGCTTTTTAACTTTGCTAAATCGTACCTATTGAACTCAAGGTATAAACTTATTCAAGGGTCAACATTTTTTTGTCATTTATTCATCCCTAACGCTTGTGGAAATCCTCATGGCGGCATTTACCGGCCTTGTACTAAATGTGCCAACAAAAATAAATATTAACATTTATATTTTTCTTCCATTTAGATTCACTGCTAAATAAATGAACATTCTTTTATTGTGTAGAATTGGTTAAATAGCCTGTAAAAGCACATATTTATCTGCTCAATTCAACAAATAATATCACCAACATAGAACTAGAATTTGTTAAAATAATAATTCACTGTGAAAAGGCAAAGCAGTTCGATGCTCACAATAAATGCACCAATTGTTGGAAGTTATGGCTATACAAGTGATGTATGTATGCTTCGACGTACTAATTTTACACATTGGCGAGGGGGAAGAACACCCTCAAATTTGGTTAAGGCTAATTAAGTATTGTGTATTTATGCGGGTTTCGTAATGGTGGCCTAGGGAAATGTTTGGTGATCAGACACTAGAAGCTTGTGCTGTTTTTGGATACACTTAGGGTTAATGTAAAATGTGATGCTGTTTTCATACAAAGGTGTGAATATGTTGTGCACTTAATCAAAATAAATAAGTTTTAAAAGTCTGTTCAAAGATAATTATGGGTTTTTGACAGTTATTAAAGATACGTATAAAATTTTTGAGCAATAGCCTTCTCAGATACTTTATTTGGAAACCGTACCATTTTAAATGCATGATATTTGGTAAAAGTTGTTTTGATGGACAAAATTTCAATGCAAGAAAGAAAATGTTGTTCAATGTAACCTTGCATAAGGATGTCAGCAGTAGTGTCCTTCGAAAGCTGTATAGGATATATTTATAACTTATGGCCCATCCTATGCAATGAGAATGACCAGTCACATGGAATAACAAGTCACTTTGGCTAATAAAAGGTTTCTTGGAATTTAAGAAACCTTGGATTTGGAAATCTAGTAGACGAGCAAAAATTTAGGACTCTTGTAGAAGCTACAGTTTGACATAAGTAAATTGCATGTACACACACTAAAGTTGTGTTGTCTATATGAAGAAAGATTCTTCATTTGGGTTACACTTATGTCCATTCTCAATATTCTGGTTAACATTTACTCAGGGGTTTAGTATTACTCGTGATTGATATCTTGAGTGAATCTCCTGTTATTCTATATATCTATCTGGTGAAGCTCAAACTTGTATTCAGTTCACCTGAATATACCACACTGTGCCTTTAGGCATTGCACATCATTCTTTCTTTCAGTTACATTTATTGTCAATAGGCAATTAAATCAGCATTATATAAAAATAATGAACTTAATATAAAACAAAAATAACAATAGAACTAAAATTAAACAATTATTTTCATTATCAGTCCTGTTTGTAAACAGTCATAATGGATATTGTCTGTGGTCATAACACCCAAATGCATTGGGTATATTCCATCTATCAGACAAACTCCAGACACTGTTGTTGAACTAGCTAACAGCTATTAAAAGGTTAGGAATTGAGTGCTTACACCCATAACGTCTCAATTCCTGCTGTCCTTCGCTGTCTCCCGCCAGTTGTGGAAAGGCAATTACCCTTAATACTCATATATAACCTTAAAGTAGAATAAATACCGCCTAAACATTCTACAAGGTAAAACTCCCAACATCCACCCTTTTATTCAAAAAATGATGTTAAACAGAACTAAAAACCGTACCTTAATATTTCTTAAACTCCCAGTCTCCTCATTTTTGCTTGAAGATTTGTTCAAGTATAACTTGGACAAGCTGAAACCAACCTAGCTACCTGAAATTAATCTTCGCAATCCAGTATACTAAATAAAAGTTAAAAAAATCTTTTTAAAGTTAGTTACTTATAAGCGAAGGATAACTTTGAATAACTGACGACCTCTAAGTTATCCACCAGGTATTTTCCATAATCCAGAATTGACTTTCAAAAATATTTTCATATTAATTATATAAAATGTACACATTTTTTATATGCCAATTCTTATAACTATTAATTTTCAATGTATTCATGAATAATTTAACATTATCCATAAAAGAATTACTATTGTTGCAAATTGTTAAAATATTTTTAAATGAGATATAATATTACATTTTAGCAGTATAAATGGAACAACACTATTGAGAGTGGTAAACCAAGGATGGGAAATTCAAATTTCCTTATTTTATCAAAAATAGTCAACTCTAATACACTAATAAATGAAAATCGCACAACCAAATCATAAACATGATAAAAGAACACCGTAAACTGAGAAGACAATACATCAATACGTGCTCTACAAGGTTTGTGCAGCCGAGGTCATGCTCTCCTTTCGAAAAGACGTCTGCATAATTTGCCAAAAGTTCTTTTACCTGAAGAGCCTGTGATGATGCCAAATGGACTATGCTTTT